GTTATGTATATCTTTTTACAAAATATAATGTAATAACGAACGATATTTATATAGTCTTAAAGTTACAACTGGCCCTTTGAGTGCAACCATAATGCTAATATGGCCCGCGATGAAATTGAGTTTGACACCCCTGCACTAGATCGATCTGAATCTAGTGTGTCTTCACCCACAACCAAGAGGATTTGGTTCTTAGTCCTTCACAGTTCGTGTTCAGGTTTCTTTTGATGCTTTTACTTCAATAACAGGTGGCTTGTTTACTCCTATGACTGTATTCACCCCTCAGTTTAATACAGCGTGCTCACCAGTCGCTTAATTTGTATGATACGTGACCAAAGACACATTGACAAGTTAGTTTACGGGGCGGGGTGGCGCAGTGGGCTGTGCGTTTGATCGAAACTCGCCGTTGTGTCCTTGGGCAAGACACTTCGCTCCTGTGGGTACTGTCCACAGGACATGTATGATATCAATGTGTACTTGTAAAGCGCCTTGATGACTTCGAGGTGTGAAGATGGGCGGTGTGGCGCAGTGCGCTGTGCATTGATTATCAGATCAAGGGGGCGAAACCCGCCGCCGCTGCGTCTGTAAAGCCGTTGTGTCCTTGGGCAAGACACTTCACACCTGAATTTGCTCCTGTGGGTATGGTCCACAGTACATGACCATTACATGTATGTATGTATGTATGTGTATTTCTAAGGAGCGCTTTGAGAGTCATTGAAAAAGCGCTTTAATAAATATAAGGATTATTATTAATGCCATGCAGGTGGGGTAAAGTGGTGCTTTTGAGCATTTTCAATGAAAACAGCTTCCTGATTAGTAAATTAAACAGTACAAATCGATCTAAAACAGCACTACGGTCTTTTTTGATGACCATAAAAACAAGCTAAAAGTAATCTAAAGAGCTCAGCAATGCTTCGAGGAAAAGCAGAGTTGGCTCATAAATCTCCATGAGTTTTCCACTAGGAGCGAAGCTTTTAACATTATATGTAGTCATTTTATCTGTTTATGTAATAACAAAAAGATTATAGCTACTTTAAGTGCCTCATGATAGTCCCAATGGAGTTTCAACAGCTGTTACAAGCACTCATGGCACGGGTTATGGTAAGAAACAAAAGATGTATAGCTTCAATCCAAAATCATTAGCATTTCCCTTTCTAAAAGCTGAATGAGTTTAATCTGAGAACCTAGAAAGTGTTTCTTTCTTTCCTAATTTTTACATTTCGATAATAGATTCTTTTGAGTCATTCAGCTCTCAAAACTCCAGTGCTATGTCTTACTGGTGTAACTATTAACACGACTGTTGCTGCCCTTGCATCATCTCATCAGGAGAGAGTGCATACAGGAGGAAGGCGGGGGGCTTTGAAGAATAGTTGCCAGGGAAACACAGCCTCTTATTCTCATGGCAACCCACAGCCATGTACTGTTCAGTTTTTGCAATCATGTGGATTGGAAAGAAGGATGGATGGATTGACGGATGCAAAGACTCTCCTGTTCTTATTCTCTACTTCAGGGGTTGTAAAACCAGACCATTCACTCCTTGAATTAATGTCCTTTAACTCTAAATAGAGACTTTTATTACCTCAGCCAAAGAGGGTTCGTTTTTTTAAAGCTCTGTGTTCCCTCAAAGTAAATTGCCTAATGCATATTGATCTCTCCTCTCGGGGAAAGGGTAATGGTCAAGTGCTGCACGGGACGCTGAGGTCAAGAGAGGTGACGACTTGAACTAAGACAATGAGGTTAACCCGTGTGGACAAATCTAAGGTAAACTAAATCTATATAATTGAGTCTTACTTTGATTGTTACATTTCAATTAAGTTTGTTTAGATTAACAGCATTTATAATACTC